CTAATAATGTGCACTTAGGCACTAGGCTAAATTTTATATACATTAGTCTTTATGATAACACGGGATGGGTACTATTGTTATTCAGGTGTAAACCCGTCAGTAGTGGAAATGTGGGGCCTTCTGGGGTTTCCTGAAGGAGGGGCCCAAGTGAGTGGCATGGGGGGTACTCCAGGGACTGCTCGGGCCCTGGCTCTTTACAAGCAGTACAGAACTAGTTCAATATCTTAACAACTGGGACAGCTGCACCAGTGTGCGCCAACCGAACTTGACTCCTACAAGGATGTCAGAAAGACACTGGTCTTTGCAAGTTCTAGCATGGGCAGTAGGTGGTGGGGCACCAGCATAACACTGCCTGGGGTGCCTTTATTGTCCAGACTGCATGTAGACGCTGGGCCTGCGACAGAATAGGAAGCTTGGCTAGTTTGCTATCACCTTTCCTAACAAGGGCCTACAGCCCTATGTTTATTTCTCTCACCATTTCCCAGGCCCCACAGTCCAACCACATTGAGCTCCTTCTGGCAACTTCCACACCACAGGCTCTTTGTTGCCTCCAGGCCTTTGGTAAAGCTCTTCCCTCCTCCTGAAGTTCTCTCCCCTCTTCTCTCTGCGGGGCTAACTTCTACTATTCATCCTTCGGGTACCAGCATAGGCATCACTTCCTCCAGGAAGACTTTCTTGACCCCCAGATTTCAATAGGGGCTCCTGTTATGTGGTCCCATAGATCCTTTTTTTTTTTTTTAAAGATTTTATTTATTCAGTTTTTTCCCCCCAAAGCCCCAGTAGATAGTTGTAAGTCATAGGTTCACATCCTTCTAGTTGCTGTACGTGGGACTCGGCCTCACGTTGGACGGAGAAGTGGTGCCTCGGGGCGCTCCCGGGATCCGACCCCGGACCGCCAGCATCAGAGCGCGCACACTTAACCGCTAAGCCACGGAGCCGGCCCGGTCCCATAGATCCTTGTGCTGCCCCTTCATTAACCCTTATCAATGGTTGTTATGAGAGGTTCGGGGATTCCATCGGAGACGTAAAAGAAACTTTCCACCCCAAACAAATGGACTGAAGGTATATTTTGTTATATAGAGGATAGTAAAGGCGATATTCCGCAAACAGATCCGAATAGGTCAAATAATAAGAGGGAAAAAACACCAGCTCGACTGGAAAGGGAAAACATCCACATTGGCTGAGATAGCAGCAGATCCAAATAGGTCATATAATAAGAGGGGAAAACATCAGATGGACTGGAAAGGGAAACACCAGATCGACTGAAGGGAAATGACACAAATCAACCGGAAAGAGAAACACCAGGTTGACCGAAAAGAGAACACATCAGATCAGTTACTTCACAGTAAATCAATTACTCACAACATCCACACCCCACTGCCGGGAGAGTCCTGTCAATCGACACGGCTGGGCAAGGATCACACGTCCTGGGCAAGGCGTCCCTTCCACAGGTGGAACTCTCACCAGGTCTCAGCTTCCAGCAGTTTATATAAGCAGTTACAGAGTTTGCAGAGCAAGCATCTAGTGTTCCCATGCACAAATGGTTATCAGTGGCGTACGTGCACTGAGCCCCTTGGCTAACATCCCAGCCCAGTCATTGTGTACGTGCATTGTTCTCTTTGGTTATCGTCTTAGCCCGGCACAGATGGCCAGTCCATCCCGTGCTACAATGCTCCAAGAGCCTTGAAATGTTACAACTTGCAACTCTCTCCGTGGGAGAAGGGCCAGTTCCCGCCACGCAGATAGCAGCTTTTATATTTCTTTTTGTGCTGGTGGCTGTAGGTCAGTGGAGCAGCCAAACATGGCTGTACTCATGTCAAGACAATGGTGCAGTGGCTTCATGACAGCAGGAAGCATAAGGAGCCCGTGTATACCTAGCACTGAGGGCCGTGCCCAGCACACAGTAGGTGCTCAATAAATACTTGTTGCAAAGGGTTTAGAAGAGTGATCTGAGATGAAGGCCAGGCCTGCTAGAGGCCCAAGGTCTCAGCAGATTCATAACAGCCCAAGGGAGGAAATTGAGAACTGGGGTCCAAGGGACCACAACAAATTGAGAATTGGGATACAAGGGGTCTCAACAAGACTCTTCCTCTTCCAAACGCCATGAGCTCTGAGCCCCGCCTGAGTTTCCAACCTTTCCTTCTTTATGCCCCCTCCTTATCCCATGCTCCAGCCTAGCCAGCCCTGGCTCCTCTCTTCCTCTCTTTAGTTCAAGGTTGTTCCCTCCTCCTGGAACACCTTCTCCAGACTCCTCCACGGAGCCCTCCCACATCCCCTCCTTCTGCCCCCCTCCCATGAGGATTTATTTGACCCTTTTTTGGGCTCCTGGAGCACTGTTTTTGTCCCTCAATGGAAGCAGGGCAGACAACTGCCTCATGCTAGGTTATTTACATGAAAATCACTGTCCTGAGTATACAGGCCTCCAAACTCAGGGGGTTGATACCAAATAACTTCTTAAAGTAGTTGTGTTCAGCAGCAAACACCTCTTTTTTAAAGTCTTTTTTAAATTTTTTGAATTATGTTTTATTTTTCTATCAGAATAATGATGCACATAGTTTTAAAAATTCCAATAGCATTCCAAAGCTTATCTTGAATAATGGCAACTCCCTGCACTCTCCCCCATAAATCTGACTCCTGTACAACTACTTTAAACTCTTTTTAGCTGTTTCTACTGGTATTTACCTCCGTGTTTCTAATAACATATTGCTTTTTAAAAATTGCATCACTTCTAGACGTCTTTTTTATAACAACTTTATTGAGATATAATTCACATACCATACAATTCACACATTTAAGGCGTACAACTCAATGATCTTTTTTTATACATTCACAGAGTTGTGCAGCCATCACCACAATCAATTTTAGAACATTTCCATCACCTCAAAAAGAAACCCTGTACCTCATTTCTCCCCTACCTCCAGCCCCTGGCAACCACCAATCTACTTCTGTTTTTATGGATTTGTCTTTTTCGGACTTCAAATGAATGGAATCATACAATCTGTGGGCCTTTGTGCCTGGCTTCTTTCACTTGCCATAATGTTTTCAAGGTTCATCCATCCTTCATTCCTTTTTTTTTGTGAGGAAGATCAGCCCTGAGCTAACATCCATGCTAATCCTCCTCTTTTTGCTGAGGAAGACTGGCCCTGAGCTAACATCTATTGCCAATCCTCCTCCTTCTCCCCTGCCCCAAAGCCCCAGTAGATAGTTGTATGTCATAGTCGCACATCCTTCTAGTTGCTGTATGTGGGACGTGGCCTCAGCATGACCAGAGAAGTGGTGTGTCGGTGCGCGCCCGGGATCTGAACCTGGGCGACCAGTAGTGGAGTGTGTGCACTTAACCGCTAAGCCACTAGGCCAGCCCCCTTCATTCCTTTTTAGAGCTAAATAATATTCCATGGTATGGATATACTCATTTTGTTTATCCATTCATCAGTTGATGGACATGTAGGTTGTTTCCACTTTTTGGCAATTATAAATAAAGGCTGCTTCGTGAACAAGTTTTTATGTTTTCAGTTCTCTTGGGTATATATCTAGGAGTGGAAATTGTTGGATCTTATGGTTATGACCATATGGTTAAAAAAGTTTAGCATTTTGAGGAATTGCCAAACTTTTCCAAAGCAACAGGACGTGTTCCCATCCACAGCGTATGAGGGTTAAACATTATGTCTTGAATGCCTGTTAGAATAGTTGAGGATCAATGACAGTTTTAAACTGGATTCCCAAATATGTAAACTAGATAAAAGTGCCTTGGTTCTGATGGACGTGGGGACGTGTACCTGTTAGTCCCAGGGGGAAACAGAATCCAACTCACATAATTCTAGAGCAGTGCTGTCCAATAGAAACTTCTGTAATGATGGAAATTTCCAAATCTGCACTGTTCAAATTGGTAGCCACTAGCCATATTGGCTACTGAACACTTGAAATGTGGCTAGTGCCACTGAGGAACTGCGTTTTAAATTGTATTTAATTTTAAATAATTTAAATTCAAATACCCACATGTGGCTAGTAGTTATATTGGATGGCACAATTCTAAAGGCTTTAATATAGGGATTCCTTGTGGAGATCTAGGTATGGTTAAAAGAACCTACAAGGCATGTTGAAGCCCTCAGAGGCTAGCAACAACGGGGAGCCGTGACTACTTCTAGGACTGAAAGAGAAGGAGAAGAAATCTTGTCACTGAAACTTGGTGACAGCTGGAGACATAGAGGAGGGGCCAAAACTCTGATCACCAGTTCCAATGTGTATGTGAGGGGTTTCGGGAACTCTCTGCCAGAAACGAGGACAAAGACCAAATTATATGTATCTTATTATAAATCACAACATCACAGTCCAACCCCTGGTCTTCGAACATGGATCCCTTATAGCAAAATAATTGTAAAAGTCAAAAGATCACTAGAATCCCATTCAGTCATTAATAACTATCCAGTCCATCATCATATGATGTGAAAATGTCTCCCAGGGTGAGGCCACTCAGGTTTGCAGCTTCCATTTGATCTTGTCATGGTCCAAAAGCAGGAGCGGTCTCAGCAATACATGGCTTCATCCTCTCAGACATCTGGTATAATCGAGCTGAGAGACAGTATCATCTCTAGCTCTGAGCCTCTTTCTATGTATTAATGAACCCATTTATTCATTCCCTTACCCATACCTACTATTTTTCCTTCCCCATTTATATCTCAAACTTTCCCACCTTTAGAAGGGACATGAGGTTCGGCCACTTTGCTCGTCTAGATTGTAGCAGCAATACTAGTCCAGCAAGCACCTTTCCTCAGTCCACTTCTATCCAGATAAGGTAAGGTGACACGGGTGCAGAACCAGTGGGCTATCTTTAGCACCAGGCAATAGAGCTGCGTTCACTGTTAGCCCCAATTTTGCCAAGTGGGGAAATTGCCCCATCAGGCCCTTGAGCATTCTCATGTAAAGGTTAGAAACATAGTTACAGTTTCTTGCTTAGGAGTCATCCCTGCTTCCAGCCCTTGTAGTTGCAGCCCTGGTCCTGTGACCACTGCATCAAATAGGGGGAAAAAATTGAAGTGATGTGGGGAAGAAAATACCAGCACCTTCCCCACCTCCTCTTCCCCAGATCCACCAGAAAAACAGAGAAATTTATCCAGTGGGGACACTCCTTTAGCCCCACTCATATTCGTGTTGAGTGTGGGCACACACTCCTAAAGGTGTGTCAGCCAGCCCTTCATGCCTTTATTTCCCCTTTTTAGATAGCCAATTTTTTTTTTTTTGTGAGGAAGATCAGCCCTGAGCTAACATCCGTGCTAATCCTCCTCTTTTTGCTGAGGAAGACTGGCTCTGAGCTAACATCTATTGCCAATCTTCCTCCTTTTTTTTCCCCAAAGCCCCAGTAGATAGTTGTATGTCATAGTTGCACATCCTTCTAGTTGCTGTATGTGGGACACGGCGCCAGCATGGCCGGAGAAGCGGTGCGTCGGTGCGCGCCAGGGATCCGAACCCGGGCCGCCAGTAGTGGAGTGCACGCACTTAACTGCTAAGCCACGGGGCCGGCCCATAGACAGCCAATGTTTTAATCGCCTGTTCCAATTCTCTATCAGACTAGTATTCTGAGGAGGACCTCTCTTTGCACCATGTTGGACATTATAGGCTGTAAAGTGAGTTTCTTGGTCTGAAGAAATGATGGTTGGCCATCCAAATTGCTGCAATATCTTCTGTTCTGGATCTTTCCTAATACTCTGAGCATTTGCATCTACCACCTGGTAAGCAAAGCCCAGTCCCGGGTCAGTGTCTCTTCCTGCTGGGACCCATATGTAGCTCCCGAGGGCTACCAGCATCAGTTTCACTTGCCAGCTATGTCCAGGGCTGTCCCCCAGGGAATCTGCCACATCGCCATCTGCAGGATCTGTCTCTCTCGCTGGCAGACAGAAGAGTTCTTCTTGGCATTTGTGCCTCAGAGGGTGCAAGAGGAGCGTGTCTGCTTCAGCCTGTCTCTGCATTGCGGCAGTGCCCCCATGTCCACTCATCTCATGGACCCACGTGGCCATCCCAAGGGAGCACACGAGGATGTCTGCTTGTCCATTCCAGTCACCTTCCAAACCTGGAATGGAGTTCTTCTGATGAGCATCGACATCTCCTACTTTAATGCACCCTCTAATTTCCAAAGGGCCGTTCCCCGTACGGGCATCCCTTTAATAGGCCAGGTTTCCACTGACCTCCTGCCAGGCTGTTGGCCATTACTCATGAGTCAGTAAAAACCCAAACATAGGAGCTTTTTACCACTGTTCAATTCTCCCACCACTGCTGGGAAACAGCACGCAATTCAGCCCACCAGGCTGATCTGTTTTTACCTTCTTGGATCAGAGTGGTGGCCTTCCAAACAGAATGTTGTCCATTCAGTGTGGAATTGCCGTCCACCAGCCAAGCAGCTCTTTGTCAGTCAAGAGCTGCTTACAGGGCACTGTCCACGTGACACCAGAATCCAGCAGCTCCTCACACGGTTCCAGAGTCAGTCCTAGGGGAAAAGAGGCTCCCTGCTCATGAGTATCTCCTTGCATTCCCCAGGCAGCATGATCCTGGATAAACCATTTCCATTTCCACGTATATATGGAACTCTTCTGGGCACTGCCATCTCCAGTAGAGCATTTCTCCAACATCATCCTAGCCATTATGGATATTTCAGGTTTTAAGATCATTTTATGTCCTTCAGTCATCGGGGTAGATTCAATTAATGTTCCTGGCCAAGTAGTACATGGCCCTCAAATGGAAATTTTCTAGTTCAACGTTCCAGTAGTCATTGCTGGGAGGTGCTCACAGGCTTTTGCCATAAGTCCCAGCCTGTGCTCCACATAGGGCCATTGCACAGAGAATTTGTCCCTACCAGCACTCCAGCTTCTCTTCCACACTGTGTGGGCCCCAGGCAATCTTACTGGTTCCCGTTTAGCGTGGGCAACTAACTTTGCTTAAAGGGCATATTTACATGCCTTCTGTTTTACGGTATTAGGTAGGGGAAACATCTCCCAGTCAGATACAGTGTCCATCCCCATAATACAATCAGGTAAAACAGATGCAACCACTTCACATAAAGCCTATTCAAACATACCAGTTCTCCTACAAACTTTTACCTTACCTCCATCAACCCTTACTTTCCTAACCATAGCCTCTATTAGGACTTCATCTGCAGGTTTTGGTCTTACAATACCGGGTAGGGGAATTGTTCCCCAGCCAGACATAATATGCATTCCCATAAAACATTCAGGTAAAGTTGACATAACGTCTTTACGTAATATCTGCTTAAACATTCCAACTTTCAGAATCCTATCAACCATTACATTTTTGCATTCTCTCATTCTAACTGTAGCCCGAGTGAGGGCTTCACTGGTGGGTTTTGGTAACACAGTTCATGGGACTCCGGTATGAAGGAGTACTGGAAACTTCTCTTCTCCACCCCCTGATCATTTTACTCACTCTCATGCAAAAGGCTTTCGGCCTTCAGGTAGGAGTTAAGCCAAGGGACCCCGGCCCTTTTGCCAATCTTTAACCTGGTTAATCTGTCTAACCATTGCCCAAGCGATTGCCGGTCAGGTTTCTCATTGTAATTTTTGCCTTCTGGCTTTTTAAATTTCTCCAAACTGGGGTAAAGAGAGTGGACTTTTTTGGGGCTCATTAATGTTGAAGGATCAGTAGGGGGGTCCCTTTGTTCCACCCAACCTTTGGTAGTGCTGTATTAAAACCTTTGTTTTAACTCCATCAATGTCTGTTTTATTCACCCCATTTCTTAATAACCATCTAAGGGTTTCCCCCCTGCTGGGACGAGTCCTGTGACTCTCCCCTTTCTGTCTCCTCCTTGTTTTGCTCCTATCAATATTCGCTTAATACGCTTTATTTCTTAATAACAGTTTAAAAATCTCTACTTTGTTGGGAAGTCCCTAGACTTTCCCCTCAGCCTCTTCCCATTCTCTTAATTTACCTAATGTTGTTATTAGTGTCGGGGGAAGAGGGAGAATCTCTCTCTGCCCTTTTCCTTTAGGTTCTTATGGCTGGCCAAATAATTAACAAGACAGGTTAGCAGGAGAAAATAATACCAAGTTTAATAACATGTATACATGGGAGAAACTCAGAAATGAGCAACTCGTCCCTCTGTCCAAGCTGCTTGCTTAAGTATTGCAGCTAAAGGCAAGGAACGTGTTGGGGGTGGGTAGTGGTCTGGGACTTCAGAGGGCAGGAAGACAATTCTTTTCAGGGTCATCTATAGATAATGTGGTCAGGGAGAGACAGAGTTTTTCATAAAAGAGGCTTGGTGCCTTTCCTATTGTAACCTCTATCCTACATTATCTTTACAGCCATCATGATAACAACTCTTTCTTGAAACAGATCTTTTGTTTTAAATTCTTTAGGCAGTTTGGGAGGGGAAACTCAAATACTCTGCCTGAGTTTTCTGAGTGCTTATTGTCTTCAGCTCGAAATAATCCACATATCAGAGTGGTGCCTCCTGGGGTAGCTTGCCCTGAGCACCATCATTGGCATCTGTAAGACCCATGAGGGGAAGCTGAGACAGCTTCCCGGACTGTCCCTCAGTTTTGCAACTATAAGGTAATGTGGGGTGCCCATGTGAAAGGGCCCCCTTAACCACAGCATTTACCATCACCTGGGTAACGGGCATATTCAGCGGGTGACTACCCCGGTCATCATAAAGCCAGTCCCACATGGCTTGTGTATGAAGCATATCAGCTGCTTCATCTGGGGTATTCCACTTGGCATTCGTAGGAGGAGATGGACGGTCCCACTTGTCAGGGTAAATAGACCCTACAGTCGCTTTTATTCAGTCCACCAGGCTGGCTATTCCCCCGGGACTAACCTCCTGTGTGTCTGGGTGACCTATAGCCGTTGGTGATTGCTCCATAGGGAGCTGCGGGTCCTACACTAGCCCAAACATGCTCTTCCACTCTGCAGCACCCAAAACCAAAGACACAGCCCCAACTCATTACTCTCACCATCCATTTTAGTGAAGGTCCCTCAGGAAGCTGATGATACTGACCCACAAAATGCAACAACTCCTTCATGCTGTACCCCTGGTTTCAGTAGTTTCTTGGTTTTGTTCTTCCCCCGCATTGACTATCTTCTTGGTGACCAGAGGTCTTAGAGGTACTTTCTGTTGTCCCTGCACAATTTTTAGGTTGGGGGCTGCTTTGAGGCTAGTGGCCCAAGCTCAGACCCACTGAAATCTGAGCTGAGTTTAGCATCAAGGCCCAAACCAACACTTTCTTTTACTTTCACTTTAGCTATTATGGATAACAATACCCAAGGGATTGACCATTTACATTTTTGTTGTTAGGCTGCATTTCCTTATGCATCTAGTGAACCAGCTCCCCAGAAGTTGGACCCGCATCTAAATTCCATTGGTACTTTTACTTTTACTAACTGATTGCAGCACAGCTGCAGCTGCTCCATACCATGGGTGACCACGTGGCCACCCAGGAATCAAAGGTTTTCACACCCTACCCTTTCATCCTTTCTCTTCCCAAACCACATGTTTCCATGAGCCAGGGCTGTTCTAGCAAATTCCACTTCACTGACATCAGCTAAGCATTCTGCACCCAATTCCGTGAGTGGAAGGGGTCCCCCACACCAACAAGCAATGCTTGGACACCAGCTAGGTGTGCTACAATTCAACTCAATTCTGACACCATCTACCTGGAGATAGTGTCAGATCTCACAGGATAAGGGCTCAGTCCTATAAGACTGCCCTGCATACCTCATCCCCATCCCCTACCCCCTCACCCCTGCCTTTCAGAAGCCAGTCGCCAGTTACAAGTCCAGCTTGTCATCTAGGCTTCTGACCAACCAGCTATAGATTGGAGGTTCCCACAACCCTCTCCTCAGGTTCGATTAATTTGCTAGAGTGGCTCACAGAATTCAGAGAAACAGTTTACTTACTAGATTCCCGATTTATTATGAAAGGATATAACTCAAGAACAGCCGGATAGAAGAGAAGCACAGGGCAAGGTATGGGGAAATGGCACAGAGATTCCATGCTCTCTGAGCATGCTACTTTCCCCAAATCTCCATGTGTTCACCACCCGGAACGCCTTCCTTTTGGGTTTTTATGGAGGCTTCCTTACATAGGCACGATTGATTAAACCATTGGCCATTGATGGGCCGGCCTCATGGCTTAGCGGTTAAGTGCGCGTGCTCCGCTACTAGCGGCCCGGGTTCGGATCCCAGGCGCGCACCGACGCACCGCTTGTCCGGCCATGCTGAGGCCGCCTCCCACATGCAGCAACTAGAAGAATGTGCAGCTATGACATACAACTATCTACTGGGGCTTTGGGGAAAAAAAACGAGGAGGATTGGCAATAGATGTTAGCTCAGAGCCGGTCTTCCTCAGCAAAAAGAGGAGGATTAGCATGGATGTTAGCTCAGGGCTGATCTTCCTCACACACACAAAAAAACAAAACTATTGGCCATTGTTATTGAACTCAATCTCCATTCCCTCGCCCTTCCCCAGAGGTCAGGGGGTGGGAATGAATGTTCCAACCTTCTAATCACAAGATTGGCTCCCCTGGCAACAAGCCCCTACATCTTTAGAGGATTTCCAAAATTTACCTCATTAACCTAAACTTAGTTGTGCTTGAAAGGGGCTTGTTAGGAATAATAAGACATCCCTTTCACCTTTTTGGCTCTGAAGCAATTTTGGGAACTGAGGACAAGAGACCAAATATTATAACAAAAGATGCTCCCACTGCTCTTAACGCTCAGGAAATTCCGAGGATTTTGGGAGCTCTGTGCCAGAAATGGGAAGAAGACCACACACATATTTCTTATTATAAATTGCAATATCACAAGGGATCACCTGACAGATGCTATAGACATGCTATATGCCGCTGCCAGAGACATGCCCCAGAGCGGGAAGAGAGCAGGGAAGAAATGTCCTGATTCTCTTCTCCCTCCCTCTCGTCTCCAGGTCCTACCTTAAGCTGAACCCGAGAGGAAGCCACAGGGCAGGGAGCCTCCAGAGCAGAGAGAAGAGCAGAGATTGACCTGAGGGGCGGGGGGCGACAACAACCAGCTGAGGGTGACAAGCCCCAAAGTACCACCTCTGAACCCCAGGGTTCTGAGGAACTCTGTCTGAAAACCACTTCCTGGGGGGAATGTGTCAAACTGAACAGACACCTGGAGGAGATAGGGACCACTGGAGGTCACATGGCTTCTGACGGATCTTTGCTGAGATTCGTAACGGCTGAGGCAGAAGAAAGAGATATTAATCTCTGTGCCAGGCCTTGTCATGAGCTGGGTGATTTCACTGATATTTTCTTGTTTAACCTTATAAAAGTCCTGGGGAGGGAAGTGGTATTACCCTCGATTTCGAGCCGGGACAAGGGCAAGCAGTTGGTAACACCTATCTTGATGTTTTTCCAGACGGGAGGAAGGCCTGCTGGGGTGTAATGCTGACTACACTATCAGTTGTTCAGGGGGTGGGGAGGATCCAAAATCGTGTCTTTACTGGCTGACATCCATGTGGCCAGGTCCTCCAACTTTGAAAATCTATAATTTTGACTCGACTCCTACCACCCCTGGCTTTGCAGAGCACACAGATCTGCCCTGTCTCAGTGTGTGGGAATCCTGTCAGACCTCCAGGCCCAACCTTGGACTCCCAATTCTCCAGCTCTTCTCAAAACTCAGCTGAGAAACAACCTAGGGCTTCAGAGCCCGAATGAACACTAGTTAAATTCTCTAAATAGTTTAAATTATAGCCATGGCTCAAATTAGATCCACAGAAGCCTACATAGACTACTCTAATGGTGTACAGAAAGATCTGAACTATGACCTGGTTTTGCATCCTGATTCTACCCCTTACCAGCTGTGTGACCTTAGGCAAGTCGCTTAACTTCTCTGAGCCACCATGGCCCTTTCTGTTATTGGAGTAGCACCCATCTCACATGTCAGTGCTGGTCCTTTTCCCTTAAGAAACACTCACTCTTGAGGTGAATTCATTTAGACTCATGGCTTTAAACACCACCCAAATGCTGATGTCCTCCAAATTTACATCTTCAGTGTGGACCCCTTCTATGAGCTTCAGAACTGCTTACTTGAAACCTCCACGTGGATGTCTAATAGCTATCTCAAACTTAACATACTCCCAGATGAACTCTTTATCTTCTCCCACAAAGCTACTCCACCCCCAGGCTTCCCATATCAGAACAGGACAATTCAATTCTTGTGCTTAGTCAGGCCAAAAACCTTGGTGTTGTCTTCCATCTTCTCGCTCACACTCCATATCCAATATGTTAAGAAACCCTGTTGGCTCTATCTCAAAACATATTCAGCAACTGACCTCTTCTCTCCACATCACCCATCATCCTGGTTCAGATCCGGTCATCTCTCACCTGACCGGGTACAGGAGCCTCCTCACTCGCCGGCCTGCTCCCATCCTCCCCCCACAGTCTGTCTTCCCTGAAGCAGCCAGAGAGAGCCTTTTCAAAGGCAAAGCTCTCAGCAGCTCTCCAGTGACTCCAAGCAAAAGTCCTTAAGATCACCTCACAGAACCCGGCCCTGTTTCCTCTCTGACCTCCCCTCCCACCCTCTGCCTGTCGTGTGCTTTGCTCCAGCCACATTGGCCTCCGTGAGATTCCCAGAACACGCCAAGCATGATCTGGTTTCAGGGCCTTTGAAGTGGCTTTGTCCTCCTCTGGAATTCCCTTCTCCAGGGGTTTCATCGTTGGCTCCCTCACTTCCCCCAGGTCTCTGCTCAAAATGTCTTCCCCAAGACTGATGTCAAGGAGCTTACCCTCTATATTTTCTTCCAAGAGTTTTATGGTTTCAGGTCTTATATTCAAGTCTTTAATCCACTTTGAATTGATTTTTGTGTATGGTGTAAGATAGGGGTCCACTTTCATTGTTTTTCCATCTGGCTGTCCAGTCTTCCCAACATCATTTATGGAAGAGACTATCCTTTCCCCATTTGTATATTCTGGCTTTTTTGTCATAAGTTAATTGACTATATATGTGTGGGTTTACTTCCAGGCTGTCTATTCTGTTCCATTGTTCTGTGCATCTGTTTTCAGACCATACTGTTTTGATTACTATAGCTTTGTAATATAGTTTGAAATTAGGAAGCATGATGCCTCCAGCTTTGTTCTTCTTTCTTAAGATTACTTTGACTATTTGAGGTCTTTTGTGGTTCCATACAAATTTTAGGATTGTTTATTCTATCTCTGTGAAAAATGCCATTGGAATTTTTCAGTACAATCATTGAATCTGTAGATTGCTTTGGGTAGTATGGACATTTTAACAGTATTAATCCTTCCAATCCATGAGCATGGAATATCTTTCCATTTATTTGTGTCATCTTCAATTTCTTTCATCAATGTCTTATAGTTTTCAGTACACAGGCCTTTTACCTCCTTGGTTAAATTTATTCCTATGTATTTTATTCTTTTTGATGCAGTTGTAAATGGAATTGTGTTCTTAATTTCTCTTTCTGATAGTTCATTGTTAGTGTACAGAAATGCAACTGATTTTTGTATATTGATTTTGTATCCTGCAACTTTACTGAATCTGTTTATTCTAACAGTTTTTTGGTGGAATCTTTAGGGTTTTCTATATATAATGTCATATCATCTTCAAATAGAGACAGTTTTACTTCTTCCTTTCCAATTTAGATGCCTTTTATTTCTTTTTCTTTCATAATTGCTCTGGCTAGGACTTCCAATATTATATCCAATAAAAGTGGTGAGAATGGGCATCCTTATCTTGTTCCTGATCTTAGAGGGAAAGCTGTCAGCTTTCACCATTGAGTGTGATGTTAGCTGTGGGCTTGTCATATATGGCCTTTATTATGTTGAAGTACATTCCCTCTATACCCAGTTTGTTGAGAGTTTATATCATAAATGGATGTTGAATTTTGTCAAATGCTTTTTCTGCATCTATTGAGATGATCATATGATTTTTATCCTTCATTTTGTTAATGTGATGTGTTATATTGACTGATTTGCAGATGTTGAACCATCCTTGCATCTCTGGAATAAATCCCACTTGATGATGGTGTATGATCTTTTTAACATATTGTTAAATTCAGTTTGCTAATATTTTGTTGAGGATTGTTGCATCCATGTTCATCAGGGATATTGGCCTGTAATTTTCCTTTCTTGTAGTGTCCTTGTCTGATTTTGGTATCAGAGTAATGCTGGTCTCATAAAATGAGTTTGGAAGTATTCCCTCCTCTTCTATTTTTGGAAGAGTTTGAGAGGGTTTGGTATTAATTCTTCTTTAAATGTTTGGTAGAATTCACTAGTGAAGGCATCTGGTCCTGGACTTCTGTTTGTTGGGAGATTTTTGATTACTGATTCAATCTCCTTAATAGTAATCAGTCCATTCAAATTTTCTGTTTCTTCATGATTCAGTCTTGGTAGTGGTAGATTGTGTGTTTCTAGGAATTTATCGATTCTTCTAGGTTGTCCAATTTCTTGGTGTATAATTGTTCATGGTAATCTCACATGATCCATTGTATTTCTGTGGTATTGGTTAACGTCTCCTCTTTCATTTCGATTTCATCTATGTTTTTTGGACTCAGCTGCCTCCTATACTTTAGAAAAGAGGTGAGTCATAAGTGACATCTTTGGTGTTGTAGTGTGCCTGGCCATGGGTCTTCTCTCATTTGGCAGGCGCTAGATGCATGTTTTTCAGCTGAGTGAGAGTGTCTTATGTTATTTCTCTGATAATTATCCTCTACCATTTTTTCAGTTCTCTCTTCCTAGCATGGTTGGCTTGGGCCTCTTGGATTGATTTGCTATGTTGCTATGGTGAGGGCTACTCACTGCCCATCAAAATCCAATTACCCCTTCTCCCCATGGGAACATGGCTGAACTACATTTCCCAGCCTCCCTTGCAGTTAGACATGGTCATCCAACTAAATTATCACCAACAGAATGTGATGAATTGATGTTTAGGACTTCTAGTCTTAGGTCTAAGAAGGTGGGCAAGGCATGCTTCCTCCATGCTCTCTTTTCCTTCCTCCTAGTTAGAACTTAAGACAGCAGATTCATCTATGCCCTCACGGATGGCAGAACAACAACCAGGAAGGGGCCTGGGTCCCTGAATGATGTGAGATGCAGAGCTGCCTCACCAACCACTACCACTGAACTTGGACATGTTACATTAAGGAGAAATAGTCTACTTGGTTCTTTAGGCCAGATTATTGGATCTTTTTGTTACAGTAGCATAGCTTTACCTGAAATAATGCAGTTTCATGTATTATCTCTCATATTTTCTCCCTCATCTTCCACTTTTTGGGAGTTCTATTTTCTGGGATAATTCCTTGATTTGATATTTCAACACTTTTATTAATTCAGTATCACAGTTTTAATTCCTAAGAATTTGGTCTTGTACTCTAATTTTTCTTTTTCTTAGCATCCTGTTCTTATTTTAAGAAAGCAATATCTTCTCAAATTTCTCTAAGAATATCAGATTTTTCTTTCTTTCTTTTAATTTATATAAATTCTAATGTTTCCTCAAGGATTATTTTTCATTTTGTTTATGTACTTATGATGCTTTTGGCTACAAATAACTAAAGATCCAATATATAGGAAGCCTGCAGAAGGGGATAGGTGGGATTCCAGCTTTTACAATGCCTCAGGTATCCCATGCTGTTTGTCTCCCTGCTCTGCTACCCACAACATTGTCATCATCCTAGGGCTGGTTCCTCTTAGACTTGTAGGGTGTGTCCTTAATCATGTCTGATAGGAAAGAGAAGTTACTGTCCTTGGTTTTCTTTTAAAAGTAAGGAAGAAGGGGCTGGCCCAGTGGCGCAGTGGTTAAGTTCACACGTTCTGCTTCGGCGGCCCAGGGTTCGCCGGTTCGGATCCTGGGTGCAGACCTGTTCACAGCTCATCAAGCCATGCTGAGGCGGCATCACACATAGAAGAACTAGAAGGACCTACAGCTAGGATATACAACTATGTACTGGGGGCTTTGGGGAGAAAAAAAAAAAAAAAGAGGAAGATTGGCAACAGATGTTTGCTCAGGGCCAATCTTCCTCAAATAAATAAATAGATAAATAAACAAATAAAAGTAAGGAAGAACTTTCCAAGAAGCCTTGCACCTCCTTGGCTGGAATTGGGTCACATGCTCTTTCCTGACCCAATCATGGGCAGGGGTGGGGTGGTTACT